TGTTCGTCAAGAACAGCCCAAAATGATACAGCGGACAGGCCATAGCTCAGTGCATGACGATTGGAAGTTGCCGAAACATAAAGTCGCTGCGAATCGTTCCCTCGACATAGCAAGTCCCACAGATGCTTCCCAAACAAGGCAACGTCGGATCCACGATATTCTGGAACAGGTTTGATTTTAAACGCCGCCTCGATGGATGGTCGGGGGCTGAGCAAGCTCATAGCCAAAGTTATACCGTACGGTACTCAGAAGGCGAAGACGAGGTTTTATAACAAGGCCAAACTAACATTTTAGCATGAACCGTGGAGGATCTCGAGGCGGCTTCAGAGGCGGTGGAGGTATGCTACCGTCGTGAGCCACGGCCGCTCTCTTACTTGGTTTTTAGGGCGTGGTGGAGGCCGGGGTGGCTTTCAACAACGCGACATGGGCCCACCAGACACTGTTTTAGGTGCATACATTTGCTACTTTTTATATTTCTACGCCTTGATACATGATTTACAGAGATGGGGTCTTTCATACACGCCGTTGAGGACGAAATGCTGTGTTCGTCGCTCATGCCCGACAAAGTTCCCTACTTCAACGCCCCGATCTACTTGCAAAATAAATCCGTCATCGGGAAGGTGGACGAAATCCTCGGCCCAATCAATGAAGTGTACTTCTCAATAAAAATGGGCGAGGGGATGGTCGCGAGCAGTTTCAAAAAAGGCGATAAAGTTTATATTGGCGGAGACAAGCTCCTACCAATAGAACGATTTCTACCGAAACCAAAAGTCGCCGGAGGTGCGTCGTAATTTCCGTTTGCCATCGAACCGTTGCTGATGAAAACACCGTAGGCGTCACTAGTGAGCATGCTCTGTTTATCGTACACGGCCGATTCATCTCAATTTTATTTTACAGAACGAGGACGTGGCCGAGGAGCACCCGGCGGAGCGCGCGGAGGACGCGGCATGGGTGGTGGGCGGGGAGGCTTTCAGTCAAGAGGCGGGCCTCGGGGAGGCCGCGGAGGGTCAAGGGGGTTCGGCGACCGGGGCGGGTTCGGTGATCGGGGGCGGGGCGGATTTAGTCGAGGCGGCGGGGGCGGGGGCGGGGGCGGGTTTCGAGCACGGGGCGGTGGGGGTCGTGGACGAGGTTATTAAATTTTCTTGTCCAGAATTCATGTTGTCCCGACGCGAATACTGGAGACTGAGGGTGAGGTTAAAACGCGATCACGTTGTCAGAGTCGCCATAAGAAAAAAGTTCATGAAATCGTATACTTTCCTTACGCGTGGACATACAGACTACATTTCTTGTGACCACTTGAGTCCCTGGATGAACAGGGTGAAGCCTGGTGAAGCTTTGGTGTGATCGGTGGCTGTTTGTTCAACGTTCAATTTGCTTAGACCGGTGACCGATCTGTCTACGGGACAAACTGTCGGTAGACAGACCGGTCGATCTGGTCTTAAATTTGAATGACAAGCGGCGGCACCGCCACAACGCGTCATTCTGTGCGTGAAAGTCACGTTTGATGCCCCGGACTTTGCCGAAGGCACCCCAAAATCCATGCACAGAACGCAATTTATGGGATTTCAACATGATTACAAGGCCTGGAAAGATATACGAGGCATTTTCTACCGGTAAAAATTTTGTCGAACTTTTTCAGCCAATTCCAGATGCTTCTACCCAGTATTTCACATAGTTACATCGATATTTCACCAGTATCCCGGGATAAAGCCTCAAATAAAATTACCATGATCAACATGATGTATATTATTCCAGCTTCAGACACTATCTCAGTCTAATCAATCTTGGAAACCTCAGAACATGCGTTTTGGGGTGCCTTCGGCAAAGTCCGGGGCATCAAACGTGACTTTCACGCACAGAATGACGCGTTGTGGCGGTGCCGCCGCTTGTCATTCAAATTTAAGACCAGATCGACCGGTCTGTCTACCGACAGTTTGTCCCGTAGACAGATCGGTCACCGGTCTACAATTTGCTCCGAACCAAATACTACGATGGCCACGCAGTTTTGGAAACCCGGTACCACCGCTCCCGGAAGCAGCCTTGACCGAGAAACTGAAGCAGAGGGTTATGCTGTTCCGTCTGCCATCTCTTCTCTGTCCATACAAAGCCAGCGCGAACGCCTTCCCATCTTCAAGCATCGCACGTATTCCCCTTCTCGCCCACGGCGACCTTGTTTTAAATGGTCTCTTTCTAGGCGACAAACTTCTTTACGCTGTTGAAAATCATGGGGTAATCATCGTCGTGGGCCAGACTGGCTGCGGCAAGACCACTCGTACAGTTTTCGCGATTGAACTGTCGTCCCAGACTGACAGTTTCCTAGAACTACCGCAATATCTCATGGAATCTGGCTGGGCAGAGAATGGAAACGTTATTGCATGCACGCAACCCCGCCGTGTCGCCGCCACCTCAGTCGCTGGGCGAGTAGCCGCTGAAGTCGGCTCCATCCTTGGGGACGAGGTGGAATTGCCTGACTGTTATCTTATGCCTTACTCACCTAATTAATAGGTCGGCTATACTATCCGGTTTGAAGATGTCAGTGACAAGGAAAGAACGCGGATACTGTACATGACGGATGGGATGCTGTTCCGCGAAACGCTAGTTGATCCTCTGCTGAGCCGCTACAGTGTGATCATGGTGAGTTTTTCGCGGTTATTTTTGACCTGAAACCCTGATTTGAGAGAAGATTGACGAAGCTCACGAACGCAGCGTTTACACGGATCTTCCTGCTAGGCGTCTTGAAAAAGTATAACTTTTCCCGGCCACACTATAGCCTGACTTACATCTACCAGAATCCGGCGGAAACGACCGTCACTTCGACTCATTGTTTCATCTGCGACCCTGGATGCTACCCTCTTTTCTTGATTATTTCACAGCTTCCACTCTGCCCGAGGAGCCACTATTGTTAGTCTCGAAGGTCGAATGTACCCCGTCGAGGTGGCATACTTGCAGGAACCCGCGCCAGACTACGTTCGAAAAGCAGCTGAAGTTGCTTGGAATATCAATTTGCAGGTAGGGGACATATTCCTGTCCAAGTCTCTCTTATCAATCTCCTCACAGCAAGGTGCTGGCGACATTTTTGGTGTTTTTAACGGGTCGAGAAGATATTGAGAGATGCCTTGAGGAGTTTTCGGACTTGCTACCGACGTTGGTGGTATTGTTATTTTTTCTTTCTTCTTCTCATCTTCTCTGTGCCTAGCTTACCTAGAACGGCCACACGCCTGGTACCGTTGGCACTGCATGCCGGTTTGTCGACTGATGAGCAACTACGAGTGTTCGAACCTGCCGACCGCGGCACCCGCAAGGTCATAATAGCTACCAATATCGCCGAGGTGAGTTCCACCCATCTTGTTCACAAAATCAATACTGAATTCATAATCCAGGCGAGTGTGACGATCGAAGGAATCAAGTTCGTAGTCGACTGTGGCTTCGTCAAGGTCCGCCTCCCACCGTTCAATTCGCATATTCTTACTTCTCCCAGATACGAATATATAATCCGACGACTGCACTTGCCTCTCTCGCAAACTGTCCCCACTTCTGTGGCGTCGGCTACTCAGCGGGCGGGCCGAGCTGGACGCATTCTCCTGGTGTTTGCTATCGCCTCTACCCGATATCTGCATTCGACTCTCTTCCTCTTTCGACTCCGCCCGAAATAACTCGAACGGATATGACTACGCCTATACTGCAACTCAAATCGCTGGGCATAGATGATCTTATGAAATTTGAATGGGTTTCAGCCCCGCCGGCCGAGAGTGTTTCTGAGAGCACTGGAGGGTCTTGGTTGCCGCAGGAATGATAGGCGAGGACGGTCGGCTAACCGTGATTGGAGAGCAGGTTGCAGAATGCCCAGTTGAAAGTCGTCGTTGCGCGAATGTCAGTGCCTAGATATCGATCGCATTGTTGTGTATCTGAGTGCCGGTCTAGTTGTTCAGTTCAAAGGAACTGAAGTGCGGGGAAGAGATCCTCACTATCGCTGCAATGACCTCTGTGCAGGTACGTTGTACGTTTCCTCCATTATACCGCCATTTATCTGAAACAGGATGTCTTTGTGATTCCCGATGGAGCTCAAGGTGCTTTGGCTGAACTTGAAAGGCGAAAGTTTACTGCGGAGGAAGGGGTAAGTAAAATTTATCCCTTTCCTTGACGTCTACTGACTGACCGGTAGGACCATCTGACATTATTGAATGGTGCGTCGTGTCCTTGATACATTCCTTGCTTTCTAATTCCTCATCAGCTTATAACGCCTTCACAAGATATGGCCGCTCTTCGGGTTGGTGTAAATCGCACGCGTTATCATTCCGCGCGATGTCGCGAGCGGTTTCTATTCGCGCTCAACTGAAAAAGTACATGCAACGCTTCAATTTACCCATCGAAAGTTGTGAAGGTGACGCAAAACGACTACGCAAATGTCTCGTGAGCGGTTATTGGCGCAACGGGGCGAGATGGGTCGCCGATGGAACATATCGGTCTGTCAGAGGCAATCGGGTATGGGCAGTTGCTTTGGGCGCTTTGTATGTATCTGACACCACCACAGACATTGCATGTCCACCCGACTTCGGTTCTTTTCACACGAAAGCCTCGCTCTGGTTGGGTCGTCTTCCACGAAATGGAAGAGACTAAAAAGACTCAGTAAGCTCATCGAATGCAAAGAGATACACGGTCGTAATGCCATTAATGCAGGATCCGGATTATTACTGAGATCGAGCCCGATTGGTTAGTGGACCATGGTCATAAATTCCAAGACAAACGGGCGGAGGGACGGTCATAAACCGCAGGTGGGACTCAGAGATTGTCTTGCTAACCTACTTCCATTATTGTCGAGGAGATTTTCATAACATTTAGACAAGCTCCGTCCACCTCTTTTCCTCCCCAAGCAGTGCTGCAGTCTCTTGTGTTTTCAAAATTGAAGCCCTCGAAGAAGGCGGCGTGGGTTCGATTTGGTTTACCGGTGAGTTGCGCGGTGCGCAAAAATAAGTGTCCGGCCAAAAAGGACAAAAAGATAATGGACGCGCAGGGGTTTGAACCCTGGACCGCATACAGTTGTACGTAATATGATTACGTAAGCATAATCGCAAAGCGCGATGCAAAGCATGAGTGATACCACTACACCACACGCCCATTAATCTTCTCAGAATGAGTAGCATATTCATCGTATAAACGACCTGAAGTATCTCAAAATCATTTTACTTTTTTTTTTTTTTGTCGGCCCGAAACCCAATATTTTGAGTGATACCACTACACCACACGCCCATTAGGATTTAACTGAGGTTGACCTGAAGAAGATTGTTTAAATTTTGTTGGTCTGAAAGATCTATATTTCTCTCTCCTGGCCCAGAGAGATAACATTTCCGGCACTCAAACACGGCGGGAAGAGACGCGAGCAAAGTCCAAGTCGTTTTGATGTGTCTTGAACATTTCGGAACTCTTTTACTCGTGCTTGGCTTGTTTAATATACAGAATGTACCGTACAACCCAATAGCATCCCGAAAAAAAGGGAAATCAAGGGTTCAGAGGATGTATTAAAATCACAGATGTGGGTTCTACTGTACATTAGTTATACACGGGTATTCACCGCAGCATTATCTGCTCAAATAGTCGAGTCTCCGGCCTCATTCAAACACCTCAGTTTGAGAAATACATCGCTGCCTGGGGCTGAATTCAGTATTGTTGCGCATTCAGAAACCGTATGTGCTTACCCCACCCTTCCAATGACATGAGATCCAGTGAACCCCCGAAGTACCTACCGATGAGCGCACGTTGGTCTTGGTTATGTTAAAACAGAAACGAGAAACTCACTGGGCGTATAATTTACTCATGGGTAGCCCTGGATCCATTTATACACCTGGCAAAAAAGCTGGGAGATTAAACGTACCGTAACCAAGCCCAGCAATAGACCCCAGGCCGGTTTGAAGGCCTTTGGAAGTCATCTCATTGAATAAATTAGTATCCCCGCCGCCGATGTTAGCGAGCCCCCCGACGTGTTGGGCAGCGTATGGTCCGCCACCAGCTTCCAAGTCGTGGTCGGCATCACTTTTTGCGGTGGTGAATGCGTAGGAGAAGATCCGCGCCATATTGCTCGGGGATACGCCCCCGCCCTCGTCCCGGATTCGTATCGAGAAGAAGCTTGAATTTGCGGGGCCGGCTGATCCAGGCATTGGCGGAGATAGCGTTATCCGTACAGGGGGGAGCGAGCCCGCCTTGTGGAACTCCACCGTGGCGCGGAATGAGTTTTTCAGTATTTCGGTGAGGATGTACTCGAGGTGCACAGGAACGTATCTGCAGGTTCGTTTGTGAGATTGCTCAGATCAGGGCGAAAGGAGGGCGTACGCAAAAGTCGCGTCTGGGTGCCCGTCGATCACAACGACGGGGCTCGCGCCCAACGTCGCCGAGGACAGTTCCGCAACGTACGACTCACACATCCGGATCATCTGCGACGGCGACAACCGCATGTCCACGACGCCCACATTACCGACGTTCCCCTGTATGGTGTCCTCCAACGCGCGCGAGATGGTTATGTGCTGCTCTGCGATGAGACGCACAGATATCCGGTTGCGGATCGCGCCGTCTAGGAAGTTGCTGACTTGTGTCGGAGACATGTATTTTGAGCACTCGAGAAATCTGGAATGCGATGTGAGCTACAGAGACAAAACAGTGAAAGAGCGGGCGGACCCTTTTGCCATCGTCGGGATGTCGTTGGCGTGTCGGTGAACGAGGTCCTCTAGCTGTTCTGTGAACTTTTTGTTTTCCTCAAGCGTAGATACAGCAGGATAACTGTGCAGAAGATGAACTTGCTGCCTGCCGCTCACGAAATGAAAGCTGCTAACGTGGCAAGAAGCTGGAAGCTGTCTCGGTACGCGTTGAGCGTGTTCGCGACATACGGGTTAGTCCCAACTATGAATGGAAGAGCCTCCAAAGAGCGGACGCGCATTGCGAGCCGGCGGGGTATCTCGGCGAGCGCATATGTGACAGATGAGAGCACCGAGGTTGGGGTTACCTTGCGCAACATGAGCTCGGATCTAGAACTTAGGAGAGATGTTGAATTACTGGGCGGCCAAAGGACAGCAGGGAACCGAGGTCGAGAGGAAGCGGAGAAGACGAGGCATATCTCTGGAGGAGCTGGGTGAGTTCTACAGAGGTGGGCTGAGGCGCTCGTCGATAGTAAGTACGAATACAAGGTTTGAACCTGAACATCAGGGTCTAAGAGTAAACTCAAAAGCTGTGCACCGTTCCATCATCCAGAATGTATTGCAGAATTAAGGTACGTGCTGTAGAAAGAACAACGACAACAAGAGAAGCAGATGGGAATACAGCAGACCGGGTATGAGCCAGGACTTTTAAATGAATTAGTCTAACAACGACTCCTCAGCATGGTCAAGAATAATAAAACGCCCAAAATATATAGCTCATTTTCCAGCCGTCGTCTGCACCGCACATTAGTATCGTGCTGCATTCGAAACAGTATCAAGACTTACAGCAATCCCATTCAATGCCCGACTCGAGTGGTAGGTCGAGAGACTTTGGCCCTGGGTTGTTCGGTACGACCGCGACGACCCCAGCGTCGAAGGCTGCGACGAGCTGCTCGGGGTCGTCGGGGCACCGTTCCCAGTAGTTCGGGTTGTCCGCGCAGTGAGGGGAGTCGGAGCACTGATGAGTGACTTCTTCGGCGTCTCCATCACTTGCTTGACGCGGCTGCTCCCCAATGCCGACGATGAGATGGTCGCTTTCGGCGTCGTCGACGCCGGCGCCGGCTTAGGACGCTTCCCCGCCGTCACAAATGGATGTCTCATAGCCGCTTGGGGTTTGATTCGCCGCTCGGGATCCCACACCAGACATTTCGCAATGAAGTCGACAAATTCTTCGTCGTTGCATCTCAGAACCTGCGCAAGTGTCTTGGTTCCAGGTCTCCTCCGCCGACCCTTGGAGTTGATTACTGCACGCGGTGTACCATTGGGGTCTATAAATTGAACACCATATAAGTCCATCGTCGCGTATAACAACAATGATGAAGAAACTCACCGAAAAAGAGTTTCTTCCGGGAGCTACGGTTGACAAATTCCTTATCGGGAATACCAAGAACCTCCATGATACAGGAAAGCTGCTCTTGCTCATTCTCGCCCGGGAATATGGGGAAGCCCGTGTACAGCTCCGCCAAAATGCAACCTAGACTCCACATGTCGATGGCCATATGATAGTTCATGCCCAGAATGACTTCGGGGGACCGATAAAAACGACTCTGAATATAAGTATAGACTAAAGATATCCGTTAGCGAACCTGGTGGTCGAGCATGACGACAAGGACAAACACAAACTTTTCTCGTGCTCGAGACAGCTGCTACCAAAGTCGATAACCTTGATGGCACTCTTTGCAGGGTGACGCAGGAGTACGTTCTGGAATAAAACTTTAAAACACACAACATAACCAACAGAACACGAATTCTGACCTCTGGTTTGAGATCGCAGTGGACGATACGATGATGACGCATCAATGAGAGGGACAACAGCATTTGGCTCGTAAAGCGCCGGATTAACGCAGTGGTAAAGCCAACAAAACCGTTAGCTTTGATAAGCTCATAAAGATTAATGCTGAGGAGCTCCATCGCAATGCATAAGTGGCCCCTGAAGTAAAAGTGTTCAGTCATCTTGATCACATGATGTTTCTCTTCCGCATCCTGCAACAAGTGAGTAAACCAGTTAACAAATCACAAGATAGGTAGAGACTTGCCCATTTGCGAAGGTTATCAAGTATCTTGATTTCCACGAGAGCTTGGTGGTGGAATCGTTTCTTGTTCCGGATTATCTTAATTGCGAGGGACTCTCCGGTACAATGATCCCGACAGTGCAATACTTGACCAAAAGAGCCCTTCCCCAAGGTGTCGATAATCTCGTACCGGTACGCAAGATGGTCGTGATTAACGACAAGATAGTCGCCTCGGTCGTCGTCATACCCGTAATTGTTGGTCGAGTTGTCCAACACCGCGGGCTTCTTCTTGCTTCTGGCACCAATACAGTATACAGCAGGGAAATCGAGGATTTCTTTGCGTTCATATTCGGAGAGGAACTGATTCTGCGAGCTTTTGAGGATCGCTAAAATTTTTGGATATGGTCAACAATCAACCCGTAATATCGACGAAAAGACGAACCTGCTGGGGTTGACGGAGTGCCCGGAGGCAAGGGCTCGGGGAAATTCAAAAGTTCGTCAAGCTCCTCTTGCGTTGCGCCAGATGCCATTTTCTTGGCCTGCTGGCGGCGGATATAATGCATCATCTCCTCATCGCCTTGAGCCTCCTCATCGTCCACAGAGCTAGGAGCCGGGGACGGAGTAGACAACGATTGGCGACTCGAAGACGGCGAGTTGGCAACCTGGTGAATGCTCGAGGTGGAGTTGGAAGCGCGTGCCGATGAAAGCCCAATCTTGGGACTGAGAAGCTTCAGCCCTCGAGATGGCGAAAGAGCAGAGAATCGATGATGGGAAGTGGATTCAGTGGCCGTCGCGGTGGTAGACCCAGATGCTACCGAGCTGGTGGAGGGTTTGCGGAACGAAATTGAATCACGATTTGATTTTCGCAGTACGCTGGACGAAGATGAAGCTGTGGTGGATGTCGACTGCCGAGGGACACGAGATGTAGAGACTGTGGCAGGAGATCCCCGAACCGATGCCGTCCGGGTCG